AGCAGCTACCCTGAACCTTAAAATCCTGCAAAGTGTGCAGCCTGAACGGTATCTCAGCCTGGGATCATCTACACCGAGCCATGGCCAAGTCCAGCAGCTACCCTGACCTTAAAATCCTGCAAAGTGCACAAATCCTGTGTCATCCAGATTCTGCCAGTCAACCACAGAGTATTTCCACAGGTGATGCAAATGGCCCACTAGCTGCTGAGAACTCAGAGGTGCCGCCGTCTCGCCTTCTCACAGCTATCCCGAACCCAAACCAGAACTCACCTGGGTCACGGCAGTCTCACTCAGGACAAGGCAGAGAACTTGAGTCTGGTTGTGAATTCTCAGAGAAAGTCACCTTTATGCCTCCTGACAGTTCTACCGGTTAGCACGATCTGCATTGCCTTTAAAGGGAGAGCAGGTACTCAGGGCTAGTCAGTGGAGAACCAGTCATTTTTGGATATTATGTGTTGTTGTAATAGTTTATCCCTGGTTATTATACTATACCTAGTTTTATTGGGATTGTGCAAAATATGTCTGCAGGTCAATGAAAATCTAACAATGACTGTACATGTTACAGTACAGTTGCCTAACGTACTACACCAGAATTAAGTGGTTGACATCTGAATAATCCCTACTTAATGCACTTGAGTGCAATTAAATCCAGAGGCAACATCTCCTCCGAAGACGGTATAGAACCACACAGATGAGTCGAGGGTCTCTGCTCGTGAGCCACTGAAAGGGTTATGTGAAAATAAACTGTGTTTCCCCAGGAGGCAGAGGGAACTGGCTTACACACAGATGGCAATGATGACAGTTTACTGTATATTATCAGTTCAGTTGGGACATTTTGCTGTCACGTCAGACCAACTTAATTCAGGGAAAAGATAAATAAGTCCCTCTCCTGGTAGATAAATGTTGAGAAAATGGTTTCTTTCAGCCTTCTTTACCCGAGAGAGCCAGCAGTCCAAACACAGCGAAAATTGCTTTCAAAACACAGCTGTAGGCTCCCAGAAAAATGGCACTTTAAGGAAACGGGTTGCGCTGGAGGCACAAGTGGGCTCTCAATGTCTCTAACATCACAAAGTGCACTACACTGGACTGCTGCAAGGACTTCTATCTATATTCACAACGCCTTAATAACTTTTTCACTTGATTTTATTTATTTTTTTGCATTACCAGGGCACATCATCATCATCACACATTATCATACTTATTTAGTTTATTGAAGTCTTTGTACATTTTACAGATACAGCAGTTCAACACAGCTCCAAGATAATCACTTATCCCATTTCCTTTCATGCAACAGCTTTTCACTTTGATATTCTCTTTTTTGCACCAAGCCTCTACTTGTTGGTGTTATGTGCTCCCCTGTTTTAGTCAGAGATGGAGAACAGTTGGCATTGAGTTTGAGAGAGTTGGACAGTGTTTTAAATACACAAGTATGTTGACTAACTGGTTATTTGCATGTCCTATGTGTATGATCTTTCTTTCATTTCTCTGTGCTTGTGCACTGCTAGCAGTGCACTCATTTCTGAAATTGAAAGTGCTTTATACAGTGTATTTTTCATAATTTTAAGGTATTTAAATAAAGCGATACATTAAGACTTTTTCAGTGTATCATATGAATCTTTTGAAATTGAGTCTCATGTTGGTTACATTTTTCTACAATGAGTTTACATCACCTTGACATAATCCAGTTGCTTCCATGGAAACTGGAAAGAGTCACATGTGAGAAACACATGTGTGTGCTGTTCCTGGAAGCTAGTTACTTTCTTATCCACTGAGCTCCATGGTGACAGAGGAAACATAAATGCACATAAATATGTGATTTTGTCGTGACAGTAAAATTAGAATGAGTGCCAGTCATTAGAGCTATCTCCCCCAATGTATTTTCAATATATATTTATAGGATCTCTAAATTTCAACAGCATTTTGCACAGGTCATTGATTTAGTGTACTTTTACATTGCATGTTTTTACTGTTTAGTAATTTTGGCTCAGTAGTTGATCTGATGGTGATTACGATATGACTAAAAAAGATTATGAATTGATTTCTTGGCTAAAATACCACCGTGTTCTGTTGACTTTGACCTTTGGATTGTAGACTTAAGAAAAGCAGATAAAGTAATGTTACATAGATAGATATTACTTTTGATACTGTTGCCGATCTTCCTCTCTGAGGTGCTGCAGCTCGGTTTCACTCTTTTGGGTGAGGGAGCAGTCAGGGTGAGGTTGGCACAGATGATGGAAACGCTAAGAAATAGAAATAGAAATAAGAAATAATTGAAACATTAATGAACCAGGACATCACATTGTGTTGAAGTGGTTGCATAATGGGTGTTTATTGCATTGTTGCAGCATTAAAGACAATCAGGATGAGTAATATTTGCTGTTGGCAATTCATACTGGCACAAACTGAGGAGAACGTAGTTTGTACTCAACATTAAAACTTGTAGGATGCAGAATTTGACTGCACACTGCACTACCATCATAATAGTAATAACTGTAAAAACTACATCATGTAGATAGTATGTGAGATGTTTGATTTTGCCAAACTTCTTTAAGCATATAGGAGCATACAGTTATTGTGGTAAAATCGTGTTTGACCACAGACAGACACTGCCCTTTTGCTTTTTAATGACACTCAAATCCCATGTATTAGCTATGTTTTGCACATAGATTTTAGGAAAAATGGAATCATGAAGCACATGAATTGCACTTTGTCTTTTTATTTTGCTGGTTTAAGGATTCTGTCTGAAGTCAGATTATTGCATAATACCTTGATGATATGGAAACTGTAAAATAGTATTTTAATTAGAAAATGAATTCCTTTTACATTCCACCATGTCATTTCTTGAATTAGTTATCACTCAATTACACACCTGACTGAGATTCCCAGTCCCAGTTCCCAGTTTATACAGCGCCCATCCCGGCACAAGCAGGATGGAGGAGAGGGCCAGTATCCAGCCCAGCACATATGCCCAGGAGGGGTACACATACCAGCGATTAAAGGTCAGAGGCTGATACCAAACTAAAGAACATATAAAGGTGCTCTGAGAAAACAGTAAGAGGAGAAAATCAGTATTTGTCCCCACATTTTAGCATAAGAGGTTAGAAGTGCAAAGACATATTCAGGCGTAAAATAATATTCATATATGCAACAGTAAAGCCTGACTCACCAGTGAGACCAGCGGTGTGAGGAAAAGCCAGCAGATTTTAAAGAACGGGTTGGCGTGTGCACCGGTCATGTCCTTTATGATGCCATATATTCGCTCTGCCCCTTTATAGGAGATGAGGTTGGATAATAACCAGATCAGAACAGATGTTTGTGGATGATTTAGTGTATTATAATGGGGATTTAACTCATTTTTAAAAATAAAGGTAAGACCTAAGAGACATCTCAGCCTCTGCTGTTTTTATTCTGATCTTTCTTTTTAAGTCTGTCCTTTGTGACTCTTCCAACTTTGTGGAGGTCCAGTATTAAGTATGGTATTGGAGTATCCCTTTAAAAACAGCGTACCTACCAAACAGCCAACCCAAGGACAGGGTTTCAAACACACAGAGAAAGAGGATGCAGGCTCCGTTGCAAGCGTAGTAGTCAAACATCTGAAACACATACATCCCTCCCTGGAGACAACAGCAGAGACATTTATTATACATCGGTGTTGTTTATTTTACTTTATATGTTAACCTCAGTTTTTTGGAAGCCTTTTCCTGACACCTGTTTTCACATTACAACATATCCACAGATATTGTTAGAATGATAAAACAAAGTTGTGAACATTATGCATTAGCAAGAATACACTGCCATAATAAATAATAAATGCACATATAACACTAAATACTCGCCTCAGTGATCATGACAATCTGACAGAGGAAGCATATGAGGCAGAACAGAAGGAGGAAACGTTCCCGTCGGCCTGGCCTGCGCATTTCTGTGGGAAACATATCTATGATGGATGTCATCACCACTTCCATGGCAACAAACTGTACAGAGAAAGGACCAGACAAAATAAGTACATGTCTAAATGTAAATATTTTACTCCATAAAGATTTTATGTGCATCTTACTTGTGTGTCCAGACCCAAGAGAATGAGCATGACAAAGAAACAGATGGACCACAGCTGGGGCAGAGGCATCATGGCTACAGCCTGAGGGTATGCAATGAACGCCAAGCCTGGACCTGAGAAGCAACATCAGAGTGATGCGAGACCCATCACTTTCTACTACCTGCCTTTATTGTTGGGCCAATTTAGCAGCAATAGCATAAAGTAAAGGTAAGTATGCATGCAGATGGTGGTGATGCAGTGGAAATCTCATCAACTGAGTAACACAAACAATAACCTACTCTGTCTGATGAGATGGAGGGAAGTTACTGACAATCACAAAGGGGATTAAGATACAGTACAGCCTGTGTCTGTTTGCAGAAAACTGCAGATTATAATGGTAAAAAACAGAAAGGTTTAAGTGACAGCTTTCGAGGTCATTTACAGTTTATATTCATGTTTTTTGTAAGGAAGATAAAAACCCAAAGTGGGACAGAAAATATGTGAAATAAAAAATTTCAAAAGCAGACAATACAATTTTAACTAAAGTCAAACAACAAAATCAAACACATGAATGTAATATTAAATATCTAGAAATCCCTGCTTATAATAATGTTTATTATATTGTTAGAGCATAAACATGTGTAAATAAATCATACACTTATACGAGATGACTGAATGGGAGTAGTCGTCTGCTGATTAAGGGAATGTACAACAGCTTGTATTGGTATGTGGTCTGTGTTATAAATATTTCGTCAGGGAGGAGAAAAGAGATGAGAGTGAAGCCACATGAGCACAGTTAGGCCCAATCAGTAAAAATGAATGTGTGTGCATAAGTGTATCTACTGTATGAGTCCATGCACACACTTGGCCCCAGACAACATGCAAGGGTCAAAGCTACAGAGCAAGCCCTCTCAGTGGCCTCACATCACACCAGATGACACAACACACTCGTCTCCTTGTCAACAGCCAATTGCAACATACACACACTTGAATGTCAACCAGAAAACGTCTAATGCTGCAGAGCTGGTAGCTGTCCCACCCAAACGTATACCCCGGATCACATCCAAAACCTGGCAGCCAGTGAGCAGCAGTGTCTGGGTGTGCTGCAGGGTACGGTGTGAAACTAGTGTCCTGCTGCATACCAACGCAGAAATGAATGCAATGTAACTGCTGCAACAACCAACTGTGCCTGCTCACACTGGCTTTGGACACAGAAACTGTTACTACTTGTCATGTCTATGGTTGTCCTCAAGATGGCAGCAAGTGGTGGAAGAAGAACTCCTTTAAGTAAGACTACCAGTACAATAATGCAAGAGCACACCACAACAACTAAAAGTGCTGCATTTAAATTCCAACTTAAAGCAGCAGCAGGGAACTTTAATTTTTTTTTTTATTCTGGCAGGCCCTGTGGACCACCGTCTCGTTTCATTGATTTCAAGTTGAATCTGACTCAGTAGCAGTTATTAAGAATAACTTTATAGAAACAGCCAATCATCTCACTGATGGTCTTGTTTGTTTAGGTCATATGGAGGCATCAGTATTAAAATGACCGGTCATAAACTCTTAGGTTTAAGTAAAAGTAGCGGTTTATACTTAACAATGTGTTATATGAGCTTATCATATGTTTATTATGTATTATGTTAATTTTTATCTGTAAACTAACTAACTATACCCTTCAAATATATGTAGTGGAGCTTTCCTAGGAAATAGAAAATGGGTGTAATAAAGTAGATGTATGAAATAACATAAAATGACTTTGAAATGTTACATATAAGTAGAGTTCAAGTACAGTTTTGAGTAAATATACTCCACCCCAGTCATGGACTTTGCCCGACTTGCTTGTGAGTGTAGGAGGTGTTAGTAAATCTCATACTACTGTATAGCAAAGGTAATGTGGTTACAAAAAGTTAAATGATATGTCAAATATCATCATTTGAGCTTAATGATTTACTCTTGAAAAGACAATTTTCAGCACAAGGTCTAGTTACTGAATATTTTCTGTAGCTTACTATACTGAGAATTTCTTTCTCAAATTCACAATGTTACTCCATCCACAATTCTCTCAATAACACCACACCCTCAAAACTAATAGCTCTAACTACACAACCTACCTGACTCAGCCACTTCTGCAATGGGAATACCCTGCTCATGAGCCATGAATCCCAGCACAGAGAAGACTGCAAACCCAGCTAGCACACTGGTGCCACTGTTCAGCAAACACAGCCAAAGACAGTCTCTACAAAACATAAAGACATATGCATACTGTACACTATGGATTCACCATTTTTTATTAACATAATAATTAAAATATGTATGATTACTTGTCCTCTGGTGCATCTGACAGAAAACTACTACTACTTACTACTACTACTACTTACTTATAGCAGTTGTTGTTGTAGGCGTTGTAGCTGCCTAGCACAGTTAAGGAGCCCACGCCCACACTATATGAGAAGAAGATCTGAGCCCCGGCCTCCATCCAAACCTGTCCAACAAAGCAACAGTGAGTATTTGTCCACCTAAACTCTGTTACAGTGTATCAGTGCAATGCTCCTACCTGAGGGTCTGTGAGTCGGGAGGGTTCAGGCAGAAGATAAAACAGCACTCCTTGTAGAGCCCCAGGAAGAGAGAGTCCACGGATCAAAAGAATGAGCAACATTGCATAGGGGAAGGTAGCAGTGAAATACACCACCTGGGGGAAGAAAGACGACCATTCAGGCATTTTAAAATGAATTGTATGCACATTTACGACAGTTTTAGAGCTTATATAAATACCTTTCCTGTAGACTTGACCCCTTTCCAGATACAAAAGTAGCAGGTGATCCACATAATAATTAGGCACAACAGCACCTCCCACCTGACGCTGCCTATCTCCTCAATCCCCCCCGAGAGAGCCAGCACTCGTCGTCTAGAAGGAAAAAAGATTGACAAAAATATTTAATTGAGGCTCATCAGGATTATCTATAGCACATTTAAAAAGAACCTGTTGTCTTAGTTTGTTAATCTATATAAACATACTCCCAGAATTCTGTGGCAGCAGAGGTTGAGTCAGTCTGGTTGGTCCCATTAAAGGTGTTATTTTGTTTTGAAAAGTCCACACAGTCATCTGAAAGGATAGGAAAAAAAGAAAAATGATATGATTTAAAAACACCTTTTCACTGGAAGTTTTACCCTCTGTTGCGCTGACTTTACCTTTTAACTTTTAGATAACATTATTTCTCAACTACGTGTAAGTGCAAGACTAAATCGCAGGTGTTTTAACTGACATAAGATGCACTGAAGTGTTTTATATCTGCTATCATACCATCAGTACATAATGCAAATGTTGGTACACTGTTATACAAGTCAACCTTAATGCATGTGACAGTGTACCTGTGTTCCAGTAGTTGTTGCAGCTGGCCCAGGGGAGCTGGTAGCTGAAGGAGAACACCAGGTAGAGCAGAGCCCAGCACAGAATAATGATGTAGGTCATACAGCTGTAGAGGAGGATCAGCTGCCCACCATAACCGATACCTGCAGGGCCAAATATGGTACTTACTCTCATATAAAAACATAATGAGAACCTCACTCTAAGAGGTTAGGTTTGAATTATTGTATAATTAATTTATAATTAAAAAGCAAAGCAAAAGAATAGACCACGTATAAACCTTTACTTATACTTTACTAAAGTAATCATTTCTGTTGTGAAACTACACTGGATTTGACATGTGGAGGAAATAAAACCAATCCCACTTAACCACATGCAGTTCAGTATAGTACTTCCCATAAATATTCCAGTGTTCAGTAACACAACTGAAATATTTGTTTAGTCCTTGTTTAAATATTAATTTTTTTTCAACCCTGGAATAAGGTTCACAGAGGCCATGCTTTTTCTTTTGTCAATATTTGCCTTGTGCTGACTTCCATGTCAGCACTATGAAGAGGAGAGAAAATTTATATTTTATCATTTTTATTTTTTTTGTTCTTTTTGTGTTTGCTCCATTCAGTTTTGATAGTGTGTTACCACAATAAAACATTATAATTGAAGTTCTACCTTCTGCCAGCGGGCATAGCTTCCTCCAGCAGGTGATGCCGCCCTCCTGGGTGTACTGGCCTATGGTCGTCTCCAGCAGGAACAGGGGTACACCACAGGTCACCACAAATACCAGATATGGCACCAGGAATGCACCTGAATTTACAAAGTATACAACAATGCATACCTGTACCACAGATTTTGGGTAACAAGTGAACGTCATATTTGCTTACCCCCTCCATTTTTGTAACAGAGGTAAGGAAACCTCCACACATTGCCCAGGCCGACAACATTTCCAGCCACAGCCAGGAGAAACTCTGTCTTACTGCCCCAGTGTCCTCTCTCTTCCACCTTCGCTTGCTTGTCTTTGTTGAGCATTTTTTATTCAACATTCCCAAAAGCTCAGTATGAACCCAATCTCTGTCTTATTTCCAGGTTTTCTCTGTTTTTATATGCATTTCTTCTGTATCATGTAATGAGCAACTGCATGACCAGTTAATCAGTTCTCAGTGGAAATGATCTCCAGGCTCCATCTGTATATTACCCATGATGTCCAGCTGAAGGTAAGCACAGCCAGTTGGTTTCTCTGCATGTGGTATGTGACTTTAAACTCCTACTAGATATGTCTCAGTCCTCCATATTTTAGCTTTCTTGCCTTCCCCATTCATTTACAAGGGGTAGGTATTCAAACGTAATTCTCACTGTGATGTTAAAACTATTTTTGCACATATCAGGTTAAATTATTCATATTTTTGGCTTCCTCTATCTTACTGTGCTGTATCTGTTCTTACCTGTTGCTGTACACACCTAGCCTGATCAATGGACAATAAGGGTGACAACTGATAACTCCTAAGACAGGTGCCTTAAATAATGTTATATATATATATAGATATATATTTTATTAATCCCATATTGGAAATGTTGTCATTCCAAATGATTCACCCCATGGCAGTAATGTATTTTGTATGATATCAGATGTTCAGAAGCAAATGCAAATAATGAAAAAGTGACTCGTTCTTTATTCCACGCACCCTCTTTACAAAAATTAAAGTAGCAAGCACATATACAGCAATTAAGAAATACATGGTTCTTTACATTAAGTGACTGACTTCAAACTACATTTGTTATTCAGTCTCTGTCCTCCAACAAAGAACAAGTTTCATATCTTTTTTTGTGTTGCTCCTTGTGCTGGCTGCTGGAATCCAGTGATCAACACGTAGATTAGTTTGACCTGCAAAACAGTTGTAGTCCCATTGATCTACAGCAGAGAAGACCACAGCAGACCCAATGCCCAGAAAAGGACACCTGTGAGCGTAATCCGTCCAGCTCCACTGCTTTCTGTACTCCAGTCACTTGGCTGCCTCTGCTGGCCAGATGTTAAATGGCAACGCTTCATGTTTCCAGCTGTGTCCCACACCAGCAGCTCTGCCTGGGCGGAGCAGCAGCTGGATGTGTACCTCACCCACAGTGGCTGAGATGAGCCCAGTACCCATTCAGATACATTCAAAGGGGGGTCTCCTTTCTCTAATCTGACCTTGTGGTGTGGATGGTGATGGTGGTGGCCTCCACTGGTTGTCTTGTCCTTTTGTGTCTTTTGCTGGTCTTGTCCGGGCTGGGCCTCTACCAGGCTTTCCTCTGTAAGTGGGGGGCTGTGGAATAAAGTCAGAACACCTTCACCCTTCTGTAGCTGGAGGGCAGCGAGCCCAGAGCGCCCCCTGTCTGACACGACCAGAGATACACTCCAGATAGACTCATTGCAGATGGAAAGACAGGTAGACTGTACTTGAGCAGCAGAGCAGGTTGGTGGCAACGTGTCAGGATCCTACAAGAGAAAGAGGAAGTGATGTCAGTGCCGTACACAGAAAATTCAATGATCAGTTTAAGTTGAATTAACAATCTGTTCATACAAAATAAAAGCACAGGAGACTTCTGTATAAGACAATAAAAGTAGACTGCAAATGGATTCTATTCTTTTCAGTTAATGCTCACCGGAGGGACCACAGTCAAGTAGGCCACTGCGTAATTGGAGTCTGGCAAGTCAAGAGCATGCACAGTGAGTGTAAGGGTGACAGTTGCTCCGGCCTGAGCTGTGGCAGGAGTGTGGAGGTCCACCTGACCACGGAAGGATCCTTGTTCTGCAACAGGGAAACTGAGGGACAGAAAAGAAGAGGTATGAAATGTTCTTTTCTAATATCATATTCATATGACTACATGATAGCAAAGTGAGGTAAGAAATGAAATGGCTGTTTACTTAGTGGTTGAGAAGATTTGTATTGTTTTTTTTTGTTTTTTTTTTGCTCTACCTATGAGGTCCTCTCTTCTGAACATATCCACAGTCATCATCAGCCGTCAGACTGAAGAGTCGGGTTGGGCCATGGTTCAGGATGTCAAAGTCCACCATTGTGCTGTGACCAGGTACCAGGCGGGGCACAGATAAAACCTGAGGAGATATTGACACACAAACTAGGAAATATTATACGTAGATATGAGCTGAAGCTGCTGTGGCACAACCAGCAGTTTAGCTGCTACATTATTTTCCATTGGTGCTGTTGAAGCAGCAGCAAAAATAGATTTTTGTCCACTTGGGGGCCACAGAACAACTCTGTAAACACCACACTGACATACAGCATTATGTTAACACAAGTGCATACATTTTTTCAGAGTTTTTTTTTTTTTTTTTCTGAAACCAGCTGCCTGTTCCATCATGGAAATAGCCGAAGCAAAACAGTAAGGCTGTGGGCCATGAAATCAAAACAGGAGTGAAAATGATGCTAAAATGCTGAGGGGAACTGCATAATCAGGTGATAATTCTCTGTGAGTTTGTCACTACAAGTGACACTTTTCACATTATGTGTAGTCGCTTTTTCTGTTGTTTGTATACAAATACTGATTAGTGCAGCTTCAAAGTCATGGTACATCACTGAAATCATTTCACAGAACAGATCCTAGGAACAAACATCCATAAACCATGTTCAACAGAATTTAAATTAAATTAACCATTTATTTCCAGTAAGAGCAGATTTTAGGTATTTCAGATCGCAGAATGTCTTATTTGGCATTACAATTACCTGTATCTGAACATGAGTGGGCTGAACCATCTCTGTGGAAACCCTCTCCAGCTTGTTTCCTCTGCTGTCTCGGCCTGTTAGTCGAACACAGAAGGGGTCTCTGGGAACAGAACCTACCCATCCCACCAGTTCCTCCACAGAGTAGGATGATAGAGATGAGAAGGAGGAGGAAGAGTTCAGCTTCACCTGCTGGAGGCTCTCCCCATCAGCTCCCAGTAGCGTCACATGACTGAAAGACGCTTCCTCATCTAGAGCCAGGCCCGTCACAGCCAGCACCAGAAAGGCAGGAACGCCTAGGAAATTGAATCAGGAACATGGCTGTTTCGCTAAATGGCAGAGACATTTCCTGGTTATGAGACAGATACGTCATTAATTATACTAGGAAGAAAAATCACAATCCCCTTACCTGCTACTGGACTACCCTCCACTCTGGCCAGACCTGGATGTGTCTCATTGGTTACAGTGGCAAAGTAATACAGGAAATCCACACTACTGTCGCCTGAGAGTGCAGATCAAAAAAAACGTCTCGTTTCAGTACAAGTGCAGCTACATAATAACTAATGTTATGGTAGTAATCCTCCTAGTGGATTTGTCCAGCATGTTTTTTTCCCTTTTACCTATGACATTGAAAGTGAGATGTCCATCACTCCTGGCTTGGAGTTTCCACTGACCTGGCTGTATAGGAAAGAGCAGGCTAATGCGGTACAGACCCTTGAAGTGCTCAATCTCTGCCAGAGGGCCTTGCTCACTCAACAGAGACTGGCTTTGGCCTAACAAGGAGAGGAAGACTGTATGAGCAAGTGAGTGCAGTTCCCAGAATTAAAAAACTAATGCTACTTGAAAATAGCTTCCTTCAACAGCTTATATGTCTACAGCATACTACCTAATGTAAAGTTACCTACAGTACAGTTACCTGACGGACTGGTAAGGATGCACTCTATCAGGTTGCCAGTGACGTGTAGTGTGACATTTCTTACTGAGCTGTCAACTCTGAAATAATGGGAGGACATTAACTTTTCATCACTTTCCACATGGAGGAGGGTCACCTAGAGAGGAAGAGGAGGAAAAATGTGTTCAGCATATCTGAATTCTTTTTTAATTTCAACGAGATTTGAAGTGTTTAAAAGCAATGTTTCTATAATGAAAACTGATCACATGGCACGGTGAAGAACACACAGATAATTATTTTCAAACTCTGCTTAACTCTATGGAGCGTTCTTTGTGTTTTTCAGTTTTACAGCCAAAAACATTTGACTGTTTTGGTTCTCTCTCATCGACCTCATTTGTAGCCACAGCAGGAGGCTAAAAACTCCCTGTAGACTACGCTACCTGCCCAGGTAGCGGCTAGCTGGTGAACATAGTGGAGAGTTTAGCAGCTAAAGAACCAGATATTTTCCTTAGGAGACCAAAAGGAGAGTCAACACTGGACTTACGTTGTGTAGGTGGCCAGACTCTAAATTAATGATAATGTTGTTGTTTGCTAACTAGTTTTCCGGAACAAGTTAATAAGGTGATAATATGTCAACTAACCAAAACGTTAATACAGTTGAAAACGGGCACTCATTAGTAATCATGTAGCCGTGTTGCCATTAAGGGGATTACACTAATGAAAACATACCTATTAATATTATATTCCATTTCTGCCATTAGAGCCTCCTAAATGTTACACACTGAGCTC